TCTAAACATAAGACACAAAACCTGGGGGGGGGGGGGGGGGCTACGTAGTAAAAAAGTCTAAAATTCCTCAAGATTACAGCTGAACTCAGAAAAAGCAACTACTTCTCAAGGGCTATGATCAATCCAAACCACATGTACAGCTGTTAATCAGGTGTGGTGCAGTAAAAAGGAAGGCATTTCCCATTTCAAAAAATCTGACATCTCATCTGTGCAACTTTTCTCACTGTGAAATAAAAAACCACCAAAATATGTTCAAGACGTTACATACTGAACAGATATATCTGCCCCAAAACACTAACAAGGTGCAGCTGAGATAAAAAGAAATCAGAAGGCAGCCCTAATACTAGGTAAGACTTTTTCCAGAGTAAAGACATTTTCCAGAGTGAAGACTTTTTATCTTTGGTAATCATGAACTGTCAGCCCAAATACTAAAGACACCAGATCTTGTCTGTTTTGGGATGTCAAGCAGGCTAGTCTTTGGGTGGGATACCATCAATGGGTATCAGGTACTGTAGTCTGTATTTCAGAGCAAGGGACTGTCAAAACCATCTCTGAGTATTCCTTCCCTAAGAAATCTGACAAAATTCATAAGTCACTTGAAGGCATGAAACTAGGGTGTGTTTTAGGAAAGGGAATTCAACCTTTATCCGGGCCAAAGGAACAACAGTCCAAGGAATCTTGAAAGGTGAATGTTGCAAAACCTGGCTTGGGGAGCCACATGTGGATCCAAAACTGGTTCATTTAAATGCAGGTAACTTCTTATGATAGTGTTTCTCAACCTTGTGGCTGGGACCCCTAGAGGGGTGGCGAGGGGGGTTGTCAGAGGGGTCCCCAAAGGCCATAGGAAAACACAGTGTTTGCTGTTTGTCATGAGGGTTCTATGTGGGAAATTTGGCCCAATTCTATTGTTGGTGGAGCTTAGAATGCTCTTTGGTTGTAGGTGAACTATAAATCCCAGCAACTACAACTCCCAAAGGTCTATTTTCCCCAAACTCCACCGGTGTTCACATTTGGGCATATTTAGTATTCATGCCAAGTTTGTTCCAGATCCATAATTGTTTGAGTCCAAAGTGCTCTCTGGATGTAGGTGAACTACAACTCCAAAATTCAAAGTCAATGCCCACCAAACCCTTCCAGTATTTTCTTTTGGTCAAGGGAGTTCTGTGTGCCAAGTTTGGTTCAATTCAATCACTGGTGGTGTTCAGAATGTTCTTTGTAGGCTAACTATAAATCCCAGCGACTACAGCTCCCAAATGACAAAATCAATCAGATATTTGTGCCAAATTTTGTCCAGTGAAATGAAAATACATCCTGCATATCAGATATTTTCATTACAATTCACAACAGTAGCAACATTACAGTTATGAAGTAGCAACAAAAATAATTTTATGGTTGGAGGTCACCATGATATGAGGAACTGTATTAAGGAGTTGTGGCATTAGGAAAGCTGAGAATCACTGTTCTATGAGCATATAATGGAAACCAATCCTGAAGCAATTCTTGAAGTTGGAATAACATGTATGCATCAGCGCTTTTGTATTTGTAGGAGCTCTGTGAAGAATATGCCTGTATCTTAGTTTGGGAATAATAAGTTACACGTAACCTATCCATCTAGTTACTTTGTAGGTAATGAAAGTGCACCGAAGTTTCATTTCAAAAGTAACATGATATGAAAAGGAGTAACAGTTTACTGCAAAAAGTAACAGTTTTAGTTACTTTTCAAAGTCATTTTAACTGCATTTTGGTGGTATTTTAGCATGATTTTTCTCAAGTTTTATGCTATTCTCACTCACTTTCTCAAATAAATAATGATGGAAGGTAACAAAAAAACCCCAACAAAGCAGGACAACAGGTAATGCTATAAGTTGTTTTTCCAAGACCACAACAGCAATGAGTTACAAGTAAAAAGTAAAAAGAATAAGTAAAAAGAATGTATTATTTTGTAGAAATAGCTTTCCCACTGTTTTATTTCCATACCATAAAAGCTTAAGTAACATAAAATTAGTTTTCTTAATACTGACTTGAGATGTATTCATATTTGAAACTTACAAAATATATCTTTTGGTATGACTAAGATGGGTTGTACAAATTCATGCAAACATGCCTCTAAAGATATGTGGGATTGGCACTTTCCCCTTCCCTCATTTGTCTCCCATTCTTTGCCTCCCTTGGCTTGAATAAGGCAGTTAAAACTGCCTTTAGATTTATACTGTTTTGTATTTTAATACAGAAAACCGATTATGGATCAGATATCAAAGCATGCTTGATAAAAATGGCCTGGGATTGTTAACAGAATAAATAAACTGCTATATTCAGTTTATTGAGCAGCTCTATGATTTATGACTCAGTCATGTTACTTTATGCTACTCTGCACTCCAGGAGATGGGATCCTGCAGAAGAGAAGTTATATTATTAAAATAACCCTTTGCCTTCCTCAGCAGCCTACATTCATTGCCTTATATAGCAACAGCTTGCTTCTCCTATTGGGAAGCATTCTGCAAAAAGCTGCCTTAGATGAACGAATAGAAGGCATACCTATCAAATTTGTAGATGATATCAAATTGGGAGGAATAGCTAATATCCCACAGGACAGGATTACAAAATGACCTTAACAAATTAGAGAGCTGGGCCAAAAGTAACAAAATGAATTTCAACAGGGCACTACATTTTGGCAATAAAAATAAAATGTACAGATATTAGGATGGGTGACACCTAGCTTGAAAACAGTACATGTGAAAGGGGTCTGGGAGTCTTAGTAAACCACAAGCTGAATATGAGCCAACAATATGATGCAGCAGCTAACAAAGCAAATGAGATTCTAGGTTGCATCAACAGGAGTATAATATCAAGGTAGAGGGAAGTCCACCAGAGCCCCCAGTGGCGCAGTGGGTTGAACCGCTGAACTGCTGAACATGCTGACAGAAAGGTTGCAGGTTTGAATCTGGGGAGCGGTGTGAGTTCCCACTGTTAGCCCCAGCTTCTGCCCACCTAGCAGTTCAAAAACATGCAAATGTGAGTAGATCAATAGATACTTGTAGTAAAATTGCTACTCTATGTTAAAGTTTTGGTGTATAGCTCTATGTTTACATATGGTAGATGGGGAAGAATAGGCACAGACAGGGTAGCAACAGCAGAGATAGGATTCATTTGCATATATGAAACTGATTGGTCATGTGCAGATTGGTGTAGGCCCAGGATTTTAAAAGGCTGCTAGGCCAAAATGACAGTTGGGGAGAGCAGAGCTGAACATTCCAAAGGGGTGGAGCCAAGGTTCTGAAAGAGGCAGTTAGAGTGAGGGAGTTTGAAAATGACAGTTAGGAATCTGTGTGTGAAGAGGAGAGTTGGTTTTTGAGTGCATGATAGAAATAAGCAGCTATGAAGATGTGTTAAAGACTTCTGATATAGAGAAGCAGTTAGTTAAATAGAGCTTGAGTTTTAAGGAACATAAAGAAAGCTAGTGTTGCCTTAGTTCAGAATATAATTCAGCCAAGAGTGTGTGAAGCAAGTAACATGTTTGTGAATTTGAAACATTGATAGCTTATTCAGAAAAGTTAACCAAGTAAATTGATATTGATTGTAAGCCTCAAGATTGCAACAAACACAAATGTAACCACAAGTGTTAGAGCCAGAAGTTATAAATAAACTGTGTTACTTTGTTATACACAAGAGTGTTTCATTGCCTGCGATATAAAGTACAATGGTTTAATAGCACACAGAAAGTCCCAGCCAATATAAAAGAAGAAACTGAATCAGTATAGGGCAGCAAAGAGGTTTTTAAAGAGAAAATAGTCTCTCTACCTCGCCTCAGTACTGCTCCGGTGGGAAGGTAACGGCACTCCATGGAGTCATGCTGGCCACATGACCTTGGAGGTGTCTACGGACAACGCCGGCTTAGAAATGGAGATGAGCACCAACCCCCAGAGTTGGACACGACTGGACTTAATGTCAAGGGGAAACCTTTAACTTTACCTTTAGAGGGAAGCCACAGCCATATTCTATTCTGCTTTAATCAGATCTGATCTGGAACAACGCTTCTTGTTCTGGGCACCACAACACACTGCCTCAAAGTGTAGTGGAGTCTCCTTCTTTGTGGGTTTAAAGGCAGAGGCTGGATGGCCATCTGTCATGGGTGCTTTGATTGTGTGTTCCTGCATGGCAGGAAGGTTGGACTAGATGACACTTGAGGTCTCTTCCAACTCAATGATTCTTTTAATACAATTAATTACAAACACAAATTCACTAATCTCTTCCAAACTGGTTAGAAGTTTAGTAAATTCTTTCCCCAACCCAAACTACTGAACTTGCCCAATTCAAAAGCCATTGCTTTCCCAGCACTAAATAAGCTGTAAAACTATGTGTTTTCCCTTGTGTTTGTGTTTCCTACAAACTTCCTCCATTAACTAAGGTACTTGCATTTTTAACTGAATGAATTTTTGTTATGCGCATTTAAAAAATACTTCACCAAAGAGTTTTTACCACTTGCTTAGTAATCTACGCAGTACTGTAAACCTAGAGTACTTTTTTTAATAGGACATGATTTTCAGGCCAACTTTCATGTCATTTCTATTGGGATCCTTTTAGGCCTAAAACTTTGAGGGGAGGGGGAGATGTCTAAGATGGGACAAATATAGGCTGGATGCTTCCAATAGTTTGTGAAGCTGACTGAAACACATAGGGTTTGGGGGCAACACTTTCCTCACTTTTTACACTATCTAATATTGAGGTGGAGGCTTTCTTCAACTCTGCAACTCAAGATCTCGTCAGTGTAGATTCATATATTGAAACTAAAAACCTTTTGCATTCAGTGCAGTTGCCAACAATGTATTGTTGATGCTGCAGTCAATAGTAGCAGTTGTGTTTACACAATGCCTTAGCCTCAAGAAATGTGATGGAAAAGAATTCTAGTGGTTGTGAGAGTCTCACAACAATTACCCATCATTAAACCTCTCTTGATATGCACTGCAAGACGTAAGGTTCATGAAAGTGTGTGTGTGTCTTACCAAGGGATCTTTCCTTTGTCTGGTTTGTTGTCCTCACCACGGGGAGACTGGCTCTTGTGCGGCTTCCTCTTGAGAAAGGAGAAAGAGGCTCTCCTTCAGACATGATTTCGAGGGAGTCGCCTGATGCCTCTGATAGATATTCGGCCTGATCTCCCAAATTGGGCTGTGGGCTTTGAGACAGCTTGGGGCTCCTTGTCTGTGAAATAAAAATAAATAAATCATTAATAGAGAGCAAATATTTTCCTACTAACATTAAGATCCAGCCTGAGGGAAGGAAAGAGAAGAAAAAGATGAAACAACAAGCAAATTGCTGAATGCAGAAATATACCAGGCCTTGGGAGCTCAAGGTGACTCCTCTGTGTGTTATTTACAAAAGACTCTCCCGGGGTATTCCATTAAGATTTTTATTGCTATAGGTCCAGCCACACAAAATTCATATCTAACAAATACCTGAGGCTAAGACATTATGGGTTAGATGGATGGCAATCCCATTCCCTGCTGCTGAGGCAACTGTTAGCACTGTCTGTAACAATAACAGTGTCTTAGTGGTCAAATATATATTCAGTAAAGCACACATGTAATGAATTAAAGCTTTGTCCACCCAAGTCCCCATGAACCTGCTTTTAGGGGTTTATTGCACAAGGCAGGCAAAGTGGCATTGCGTGACACCATGTGCATTCCACTTCTGATCTGCCTCCTCGCTATGATTCTCCCGTCCTATTAACAAGAGAGTCATTGGAATGAAATAAACCAAGAGGCAAGTTGCATATAGGTCATGCAAGTCCTGCAAATGTTCTCTCACTTTGGCAAGATGAGTCCCCTGTGCTGGTATGTCAGTAGTAAAGTGGTGTCATAGGGCAATTCTAAACACTTCAAGCAAAAAAGTAACAAAAAGGTGAAACATGTCTCATTATGTATTTTGGCCACATAAGGAGAAGACAGGAAAGCTTGGGGAAGACAATGATGCTAGGGGAAATGGAAGGAAAAAGGAGAGGGGCTGACCAAGGGCAAGCTGGATGGATGCTGTCCTTGAAAGGACTGACTTGACCTTGAAGGAGCTGAGGGTGGCAACGGCTGACAGGGAGCTCTGGCATGGGCTGGTCCATGAGGACATGAAGAGTCAGAAGCAACTGAACCAATAAACAACCAATGTCCAGATAAGAGCAACAAAAATTATCAAAGCTTTGAAGTCAAGCTCTGTGAGGAGCAGCTTGGGGAGCTGAGTATGCTTAGCTCACAGAAAAGAAGGCTGAGAGGGGATATGATAGCCATGTTTACATATTTGAAAAGAAGTCACTTTGAGGAAGAGGAAAGTTTGTTTTCTGCTGTTCTGGAGACTAGGGCACAGAGCAATGGATTCAAATTGCAGAAAAAGAGATTCCACTTAAACTTCCTGATAATAAGAGACATTTGGCAGTGGAATATGCTGCTTGACAGGGTGGTGGAATCTCCTTCTCTGGAGATTTTTCAGCAGAGGCTAGATGGCCATCTGTCAGGAGTGCTTTGATTATATTTTCCTGCATTGCCCTTGTTATCTCTTCCAACTTTAGGATCCTCCTTCACTTATCCTCCCCCTTACTAGTCCCAAGTGGGCTGTTTCCTTTTATATTTCTCCACTCAGGCCCTTTCTACACTAACCATTTAATGCAGTGTTAAACCAGTACCGAAGGTAGTGGCTTCACTGTGCAGATGATTATATAGGAAATTCTGGAACCAGTTTGAGGCCCAAATGATTACACAAAACACAGAACACTGATGCTCATTAAGGATTTTTTTCATGTGCTTTTGTGGGTGTTTGTTGTCTGGATGCTGCAATAACGTGTGTTGATGGGAACTCAGAGGAACTTCACAATTTTTTGGGCTGATTCTACTATTTGTCTGGATTTCACATTCACTGCATTAAAAAGGTTATTTCAAAACAGCATAGACTGATTTCTCTCTCCATCATCACAACATTCCTATGAGGGACATTAGGCAGAGAGACCGTGACTGTTCCAAGGTCATTCAGTGAGCTTTAACTTCACATTGAAATTTTGGACCTGGATCTCATTGATGGTTTTAGATCAGACTGAGCTCAGGACTCTTAGCTTTCCCTTCCATTAACCTCCATCTCCCCAAAACATTGTTTTCTTTTCAACTTCAAGCATAATTTTAGAAGTAAGCAACCAGAAGAGAAAAGGTATAGTTGAAACTTGTCCTTGATTCCAATTTCCTCTCCTCTTTGGCTTACTGCAGGCTGTATCTCATGCCTGCTAATAGTGGGTAGGAGAAGTAAACAAACCATAATTCTGCATTCTAATTTTGTTCATTTTAACACTGAATGCATGGGGTGCACGACCTTCTTTTAAATGAAAGTTGTACTTCTGGGAGGTTTCTGGGAGAATGATTCCCCTTTAAAACAAGGCATGCGTTCTTAGTACTTGTTTCACATTGAAAATGAACATGAATTTATATTCAAATCATCGCTATGCCATCAAATTTTGGCTGCAGTCTACTGATTGTTGCCGCAATGGGGAATTGCAAAAATAGGCACATGGGGGGCGGAATTCAGCCCTAGGGAGATGCTGCTCACCTTTGCTTTAAGAGGGAGGCAGAAAGTATTTTAGGAATTAGATGAGGTGGATGGGGCTTTATCTTTTAAACCTCCAAATGGCTTGAAAAATATAAGAAAATATAAGAAAATTATTGCATTTCTCCTTGCCACAGCAAGAATGGACATTTTTAAACAGACTGATTCAGAGCAAATAGTTAAACAGAATTTGAAGAATAGCCCTGTTAAACAAATATGTGAAAGAAGAGGAACATATGGATGGTTGTTCTCTTTTTGTCTCTTTTATAAATAATGAGCAGTTTTATGTTTTTTTATTTATAACATCATTTAAAATTTTGGTTGCATGCTGCAAGTTGTTTCTGGTGTGAGAGAATCAGCCGTCTACAAAGACATTGCCTAGGGGATGCCTGGAAGTGTTACAATCCTGTGGGGAGGTTTCTCTCATGTCACTGCACAAGGGCAGTGAAGACATCTACCCTTGCACTTTGTGACTCTGCTGCTGAATACAAATGCCCAGTGTGGAAAACAGCTCACCACATTAAAACAGTGGTTGTGGCTCTTAATGAGACATGCCACAATATCACAGGATGTCTGCGCCCTACACCACTGGAGATATTATACTGTTTAGCCGGTATTGTACCACCTGACAGCCACCGGTATTGCACCACCTTTCATTATTGGCTATAATGCATCCAAGGCAGTGACATCTTCGGCCCATCCTCTGTTATCAGCCAGCACACCAATGTCTTAAATCAAGAAATAGTTTTCTAAGATCTATAGAGATACTTGCAGGACAACCTCAGCAAGCGGGAGTCCAAAAGTGGCAGGCTAAAACCCAGAACCTTACGCCATGGCTGATACTGAATGAGAAACTCCCCCCTGGGCACAGAGAAGAGTGGACAACTTGGAAGGCACTGAACAGGCTGTGTTCTGGCACCACAAGATGCAGAGCCAACCTTAAGAAATGGGGCTACAAAGTGGAGTCCATGACATGTGAGTGTGGAGAAGAGCAAACCACAGACCACCTACTACAATGCAACCTGAGCCCTGCCACATGCACATTGGAGGACCTTCTCACCGCAACACCAGAGGCACTCCATGTGGCCAGCTTCTGGTCAAATTACATTTAGCACAATGCCAACTTTTTAAAACTTTGGTTGTGTTTTTAAATGCATTTTAACTGCACCCTCAACTCACTTCTGACACGATAAATAAAATTAAAAATTTTAGGGAGACATTTTAATAGACCCTATGTTCAAAAAGATAAAAGAAATGACATACTATATTGGTGTTTTCCTTACCAAAGGAAACTCTATGAAATCAATGAGGTTGCCATAAGTTGATAGGTAGCTTGAAGACACACACAAAGACATAGTCAAAAAGATGTAAGAGGAAGTAAATATAATATGTTCAAATCCTGAAGACCTGCTGCTTGTGTATTATACACTGTGAATATATATATATTAATGCTTCCTGAATCTAATTTCTTGTTCTCTTTCTTACTTATACAGAATATTTACTGAATCATATTTATACTGTTTTGACTATGAACTAAGTTTTGCTTTGGCTACTACTGTTTTTTTTTTTTTAAAAAAAATCAGATTCATTCTTTGCTTTGATGTGTAGGAATAACATAGTTCCTACCAAGCCCTAAAACCACACTGATTTGTGTTTGGGTCACTGCAGAATCCACCCAAAGAGAGGCTCCTCTGTAAGGGACTGTCAGATGAAGGGGTGTGGAGTCCGGGGTCATGTCAGTAGCTGGCACAAAGAAACTTGGCAACAGCGGGAGCTGCGGGGAGTCCTGGAGTCATGCAGGAATTTTAGGGCTTGGTAGGAAGGGCAACAACTTCTGCTGAGGTTCACAGCAAGATTCAAAGGTCTGTTCTTGGCTAGATGCACAAATTCCAAGTTGGAAAGGTTTCATTGCAAACTCATTTTGTTTTTCTTTTTGGGTAACTCATAATAACCAAAGATATAAATACTGTTTGTGGGTGGAAAAATAAAGATGCAAGAGATATTACCTTTTAATAAATCCACCGTAGAGGGAAGGGATTTAAGGGCAAGAGGTCATAAAGCTGCAAACAGTACAAAGTTGTTGACTATGGTCCCAAACTATTCAGAATCCTTGGCCAACCAGGAAAGCAAGTTTTGTGAGGATCAAACTGATCTATGTATTTCATTGATTTTATTCACTTTACAACCTGCATTTGTCTCAAAAATGCACGTGTGCATTAATAATATATGCCAGTATACTTACAGTAAAAATCAAAGCATGAAAGAAGATCAAAGTTTAAAACAGTATTAAAGGCACAATTTAAAGCAAATTAAAGAGACATGGTGAGAAGTTGAAAGAGCTCTGTATCTTTAGGCTGGAGAAGATGAAGGGAAGACGTGAGAACAGTCTTCAAATATCTGAAGAGATGTCTTATAGAAGATGGAACAGACGCATTCTCTGTTGCTCCAGAGGTTAGAGCCAATGAGTGGAAATTGCAGGAAAGTCTATTTCAAGACATCATTAGGAGGAATATCCTAAGAGGAAGAGGTGTTTAAGAGTGGAACAAATTGCTTTAGACTTGGCAAGCACTCCTTTACTTGGGAGGACCGTATTTAAATGGATAGTCTGAAGATGCCACAGGTATCTC